TTACTAGTGCAAATATGAAAATACAGTTTTAGAGTGAATAATAACATTTGAACTTCCAAGTCACGAAAAATCTTGAGTCATTTTTCAAATTCACACATAACGCAAGAAAATTCCAAGAATCAGTAGTTGAAAAAAACAACCAATCCCAAATTGAAGTGAGCAAATGTAATTCAAAATTTTCGAGAGAAAATTAACACTTTTCATCTTAGTTGATACCAAATCTTGGTAAAAAACAACTCATATACTACTGTTGAAGTGCATTCAAGGATACATATGTAACTTAAGATCCAACTAACCCTAAAAGCAAACCTTACATCTCACTAATATTCATAAAAGCAAGTAATAGAAATTTGGGCAGCATTTCACCTATTTTCTTAATTTTCCCATCCAAGTGCAACTTGGATTCACAAGCCAACAACCCTCGAATCCAACCAAACAAACTAAATAATAACTTATCACCATGGACCAAAACTAGAAACCAGTTTAAAGAAGAACTGATAAATGGCAGTTTTGTCATCCTTCGGTGTTTTGATCGTAACTGTAGCTAGGTATATCAGATCAAGGTACATTTTATGGCGTTTTGAAGCTAAGACATAGACCTATATTTCTTATGAAGACCTCCAAAGCCAAATCATGCATTTTCATGGTAAAAAATTGAAATTTCAGAGAAAATAGAAAGCTGTCGGTTAAACAAGGCATTTGGGCAGTCAGGGGTATTTTAGTTATTTAATAAGCTACAGTACTCCGATTGAGCCAAAATTTTCTGGGTAGAAAGCTAACTCAACTCTCTACAACTTTTATGTTTTTAGGAAGAACTGATTTGGCTTTTATCATGGACGAATATGCAGTTAAATTTGATTCCAAAAACAGGGCACACTACAAGAAAATCAGGCTTTTGTGACAATCAAATCTCGTCATTAAAAATCAAAAAGTTGTCATTATAAAGAGACAGTGACGACTTTTTCTGTTGTCACGTGGTTGTCACAGATTCTATGTCACAAATTAGTCCATGTGACAACTTTAGATAAGTCGTCATAGAATCATATTATTCTATGACAAAGAAAAACTCGTCACTAACTAAAACCATTTTGTGACGACTTTTCTTGTCATTGCTTCACCTGTATTTTTGTCATAGATAATGTAAAAGTCGTCACAAATTTCATATCTACAATGATAACTTTTACATGTCACTTATAATCCTGTTCATTAGTGACAAGAATTGTTGTCATTGGTTGAACTTGTAGCTAGTGACAACCTTCCCTGATGTAGTCATTGAACTTTGTTTAAAATGTTTGAAATTTACCATAAAAAGCCTACTTCTATTGCATTTTCAACAACCATAGCATAAAATTGTGGCTCGACTAATCCAAAAAACGATAGTAATTAATGTACAATGAACCCTCAAATATATATATATGGTTATCAATATCTCTAAATTCATCAAAACACACATTAACCAAAATGGGTTCCAAAGCCCACATTAGTTCAAGTACTAACAGCCATTATCCATCCAAACACTAGAGTACTAAGTTCACATCAGTTCAACTAGTAACAGCCATTATGCATCCGAAAAAACAAAGTACTCTTTCCAAACAAAAACATAGACTAAAGCAGCAATTTGTGTCAAACTGAAGTCATCTTCATGAGCATATCCAAAAGCCAACCTTTTTCATCTCCTCAAGAGCATTTAATAGCATTGAAAGAAAAGTATCATACGCATTAGAATCGATTTCAGTCAAAAAATATGCCATTACAAGCATACACTATTGAATTTGAATGAATAGTCATACTAAACAAAAATCTAATTAAGTCAATATGATAAGAGATAAAAGAATCAATCAAACAAGAGTTTCAACCAAAACATACTAATTAGAATATAGATAAAATCTGCCCAAAGTACCTTGTTAGAGATCAATAAAGTCAAGTTTGTTTCAATTTTACTATTAAGGGTTATTTCAATCAAAATTAACTTGATATAATTGACAAATTAAGCTTAAGGAGTGGCTTCTATAAATAAGAAAATGACCCAACCAACTTAGTAAATTTTGTATTGAATCTGCACCCCAAACTCATTGCATCTAGGCAAATTATAAGTTCTCATAGTAAACTGGAAAATGTCATGTTTTTTAGACACCGACATTATAAATACATGCTTATTGAAAATAATTCCAAATAGAAAACATGCTTCTCTTCTCCCCATTCACAAGTATCTCCTCCCATGTCATACCACTTGATGCTTCTCTAACAAAAAATAAAGTTCAAGATAATTCAATTTTGTTTGCATTAATAGTCTTTATAGTATTTGACTTAATCAAAATACACTCAAAACTTCTTTAAAATAGAAATCCCAGAAACAAGACCCAAGTATAATTTCATGTGTTGTTGTTGATGTTTACCTTTGTAAATATTAAAGGAACACAAACTTTGTAAATTCAAAATTATTTTACAGTATTTTCCAATTTTCAGCACCATTACCATCATAAAATTGTCTCCAGTCCTTGAAAATAAATGAACAAGCGATTGAATGTCAAATCTCCAGCAAAATTTACAAAATAAAAACAGGGGACTCAAGTGTATTTATCTTTGGTATCATACCAGCCAAGAAATTAATGAAAGCTGATTATACATGGTTGCCTCTTTTGTGTAAATGCAGTTTTAGTGCAATTCTGCCCAAAATCTCAAAGTTACTACTGTAAAATCCTTATAGCGATTAGAATATGTAAATCTACAATAACTTAATAACTAAAAGACTTCAAAATCTGCTAGTTGCACTTCGATTGTGTAAGGTGCTGGATCTAAAAAGAAAAGGAAAGTTACCTCTATGGGTGAGAAGTTCCTGCCAAATTGGAAAAAGATGCAACAAAGCCAGGTTAACAAAGCTATTACGCACAAGGGAGTAAGGGAATCAACATGTACTTTCTAATATTCTTTGTGGAAGAAACATATGAAAGAGAGTAAGCATCACCTTCTAACGAAGTGAAATATCCTCTAAGTTAAGTTCCTGCTCTTCAATTAATCTTCTCGCAAGCTCCTTAACCTGAAAATGGGGAAGAGAACTGGTTATTTAAGCTTCTCTGACCACCAGTTTAAACATGAAATCACTACAAGAAAACTGACTTTTTGCGATGCCAGAATTCTGCTGCAAGAAATCAGAAAACTGTCGCAAAAACCTTTTTGAGGCACAAATGCAACAGAATTCAATTGTGTCACAAAAGTAGCCGTTACAAAAGAAAACGACACAATTTTTGGGTATGTCACATGTATTTGCATCGCTTTTTGTGGCACTAGTTTGAGTGTCGCCCCTCTACTTGCGGCACAAAAAATGCACCACAAAAAATCTCCATAATGTTATTGCAACATAAAATTGTGTCGCACAAAAGTCACTAATAAAGCCCAGAAATCAATCTTTTGATGATACAATACTTATCCTGCTCAAATATAATAAATTTGAATATCAGAATAAAATTATAGTTCCACAGTACACTAGAACAAAGTATCAATCTTTTACCAAAATTGTTCCCATTGAACATCTTGATAATCTGTGAAGTATTAAAAGGGCAAAAAAAAATTTTCAAATAATGTAAAGGAGTAAAAAACGAGGTGGCAACATAAACCATGATTCAGTCCACCAAAACTCGAAGTGTTAGCAGCTGAATTTGGCCCAGCTGTACGTTTGCCTGAAGCTGTTAAAATCAAACTTTGAAGCTTGAGATTTCGTACTCAATTAAACTGAAAAGGAATAAATTTGAGGCCATATTCCATAAGCAATAACTAATAGAAGAAATACTGACATGCATCTCAAATTTCACATTGTACCAGAAGACCACAACCAAATACAATATCAGAACCGAACAAATACAATATCCTTATTATGAACTCTATCTTTAATCATTCTTTATTTACTCAAGAAAATTTCAACAGCAAATTAGGAAAATTATTATAAAACTGAATAAAGAAAGAAAAATCAAAGGATGAAAAAATTAGATGCATTTATAAAACAGAGTATCTGGTATTGCATTTTTCTTTAACTCCAGGAAACAGACATGAATCCCTCTCTCTTATTTGCAAGAGTTCTATCTACCAGAAAACTATATTTCTTACCAACTTTCCAGCTTCTTATCTTTGTGCATTCACAGAGCAACTCCAGGAAACAGACATAAACCCCTCTCTCTTATTTGCAAGAGTTCTATCTACCAGAAAACTATACCTCTGACCAACTTTCCAACTGGTTATGTTTATGCATTCACAGAGTATGAAATCCAGAGACACAAAAAATGTCCGTAAACTATTTCAATATGAGACACGATACAGCAGATGAAACCACAACTTTCATGCATCAGAAATAGGTTATTTTCTTTCTTAATCATCATCGTGAAACTTAAGTAAGTTGTAACCAATCTGAAGAGATGCCCCCAGAAAAATTAAGAATATAGATGACCATTTCTGGCAGAAAGAGACTTCATAAGCTCAAAGGCACATCTCTGCATCTGTGAACTGATTTTCAATACCAATGACTCACTCAAGAAATGCTCACTCTACTTGAATGAGAGAAATTTTGCAAAGGTCAAACTACCACTTAATAGTCTACTATTTTATATCCATTTAACAAATTCATTCAGATAGTATTTTTGTGAAAACAAAACAACTACTGCAGGAAAAATTAATCTAAAATAAACCAATTTGCAATTTCACATAGTACTTAGTCAAGAAACTTAATTACCTGAAATTTGAAATCCAAGCGTTCAGAGAAAGCCTCCTCTGCTGAAGTTCGAAATACAAGTGTTCAAAGAAAGCCTCCTATGATTTCTCTACCACACCTGAAACACCAAAAGAGGTTTTATGGTGAACTTCTCAGAATTCAAGTCATGAATGAATGAAACTTCTCAAAATTCATGAAGCTATTGAACTCTAAGGCTTACTTAGAAATTATGTAGCTCATTTTAACATTGGCAGCATTCTTGTCGATTCTATGGTCATCAATTTGTCTAGTGGCAGCATAAATATCCAAAACTTCAATAGGAGGAAAGATGGAAAGAGTTGATGACTCAGAGACAACAGAATTCAAGCTATGACCATAACAGAAAAGCCATCAACAATTGGAATAAGAGGATGGCAAGTATTATATGCATCATGGTTCACCGAAAAACAAAGAACTCACAACAGAATCATGTGCATCATCTTACTTGCACATGATTACAATTTCATTAACTAGTGCAACCTTACTCTCTTCCAGCAATTCCACAAGTTGGGAAGTTTTCTTCAATTTGAGATCAGCTAACAAAGGTTAGAAATTCAATCATCAAACATTTAAGCTTAGTCAAATAAATTAATTAAACAAGTGATGTATCAAACCTCTTCAACTAATGATACACGATCAACAAAAGGCCGTCTAGAAGGTGAACTCCAGCTTGCTTCACATGCATAATGATGAAAAAGAAAAGGCAACATCAACAAAATAGAACACATAAACCTAGAAATACATAACTCCAACATTAATTGACAATAACTTCTCCTTAATGCCCTAGAACAATTTTTCACATGGTAATAAACCTCATTTCCTAATGACAGAGATAAGGAAAATTCATTTTCTAAATGCAATTTAAGCTAAAATGTAGTATCAATCAATTCATATAAAAAATTTAACGACATTTCTATGGAGTTCTTCACTACTGACTATTGGAAACACTTGAGCTACTACTGCTTATTGGAACTTTATACAGATAAATAAATTCATAGTCCGTTTTGCTAAAGTTAAAATTTTAAACACAAAAGCACATAAATTAACAAAAGCAATGCTTGAGGACAAGCATTGTCCTCAAGCATTGTCTTGGTGTGGGGGAAATTTGGTGGTTGTCAAACCTCCAAAAATAAAGTTAAAAATAACAGCCTAATTGCCTGTAATTAACACAAATACCAATTATGAGCAGAAGTCCAATACTTTGCATAACAAACTGCCAAAATTAAGACCAAATAACCACAAATAAAATGCATAATTATACCCCTATCAAGCAACTAGAGAGCTAAAATTCTAAAGCTTTGCATTCAACTATTGAAATGAGTTCTTCAGCGATCTATACAAAATTCACAAAACAAAGCTAGAATACTGAAATAAAACACAAAAATTAGAAGAAAAAAGTGATTATGGCAATTAACCAACTTCCTTCTGTGACGGCCCCACCTTCCCCTAAGGCGAACCAAAGGGTTTAGCGGACCGCCTGCCCAGCTCTCGCCGGGACTCAGTCGTTCACTACAGTCCTCAAATAGATTACAATATAAATCTCAAATATTACATCAAATTCTCCAATAATTACATGTCATAAGCGAAGCGGAAACAATTCCCAACTATACATAAAATGATTTTCAAATCCAAATTGTACAAGATATATGCCATCCAGTCACGTGAATAATTACTACAAGCCTTCCTTCGCCACGAGCCTTGTGGAGGGGAACAAAATATTTTTGGGGTGAGCTAAAAGCTCAGCGAGTAACCAGTAAAATCAGTAATCAAATCAGTTTCACAATAGTTCATTTCAATGATGTCATGAATCAGTAATCAAATGTACGTTTATTGCTCTCGTGAGCAGTGAAATCCTTGCACTTAAACATCGAATGCTCAAAATGATCCAGTAACAGTAAACAGTGAGAGAGGGAGCCATTTGCTCCAACTAAATAGGAGTGGAAACGTTGGTGTTCAGCACAAGACTGTCCAAGAACTCAGTGAAGCCAAATCATGTCATGAACTCACATGCAAGCACGCATGATATGCAATCGAGTAAATAATGCAAGAAAACAGTTCATAAGTAGCTTTGGAAATAGGTTGAGGTCACTCACCAACCACGGCTCTTAATCCTCATCCATCATAGACAGTTTTCCTCGATCAAGTCCAAGCTCTCCATTCTACCAAGAATTAACCCAAACTCACAGCGTTTAAACGTTCTCAAAGATTGGACAGCACTTCCCCTTAAATTCCTTATTTTCCATCCTACAAGACATTACAAATCACCTCTCAACTCAATCACAATAAAGCCCCAGAGTCATACAAGTACGAAATCAAACTAGGAAAATGTCCGGAAATGAAGTTTAAGTTATAAACCAAAAGACAGATTTGCCGTGGCTTAGCGTAACACCCACAACCAAAGCTACACTTATCGGATTGGGGTGAAATTTATACCGTTTCGAAGCTAAGACAAAGGCCTACAACTTTTATGAAGACAACTCAGTCCAGTTTGTAATGTATCTAAGACAAAAGTCTGGATTACAGAACCAAAATCTCACATTCGGGCTAGTTAACCGCATTATGCGTAAACAACCATAACTTAGGCTACCAAAGTCCAAATGAGGTGATTCCAGGGGAGTTGGAAAGCTAAGATACAAGGCTATAAGTCTTAAGAAGACAATGACAACCAAATCAGTAGTATTCATGGTCGAAACAACCAATTACAGAAGCTGATTAGCATGTTCGGATAGAAACAGGGCAGCTGGGGTATTTCGGTCTTTTCACAGGCTACGTTGCTCTGATTGAGTTGAAATTTTGTAGGCAACTATAAAACACCATTCTCTACAACTTTCATGTTTTGTGCTAAGGTTGATTCTGTCTGTAACATACTCGAACAAAAACGGGCAGAACAGGGTCATATGGAAACCCTAAACTGGAATTTATGCATCCAAGCTGGAAATTTCTTTAAGCAAAACAAACTAACACATAAACACTAGATATTTCACATATCAAAGCTAGTGAATCATGGCCAACCTTTAAGCTTCATATATGGGCAGAAAATTCACCAATAAAACTGAAAATTTCCATATCACTTCTTCCAACCATGAAATATTGCATAATACTACCAAAATTGCAACTATAAGCCACTAATTTACAATTATTGGAAGTAGAGAGAGAGTTTCTTGACATATGCACCTCTTTACCTCTAAACTCAGAGGTGACAAGCAAATCAAGAGGGATGAAAGATTTTCTTCTTCTAAAACTTCACCAAAAGCTTCTCTCAAAGCTTACCTCAAGATTGATCAGTGTAGATTAGGATTTTTCGTTGGATTCTTCATGATTTAAGCAAGAGATCAAGGCTGAATGTTTTTTGTGTTATCTCTCCCTTTTCTCTCTCAAAATTTCGTCCATCATGCTTAAAAGAAGAAGAAATGATGAAAACAAAAGGTTTGGTCAAGATAAGAAGAAGAAATCATGGTCTTGGTCAAAGGTCCAACTTGCAATGGTTTCAAGCCACTTGGCTTTCTAGAATGTCCTCCAACCTCCTAATCTTCTAACACTAATCCACCTAGCTATTCCCTAATTATCACTAATCACCGTATAAAATAACATTCTTTTATACAAAACTTCAATTAATCGCCAAAATTGTACCCGACTAACCGCAGTAGCGGGCCCCACGTCCTTAATACTCTTTAAACTTAACATGGACTAACTTGTATCAAGGAAATGATTTGAAAACTATATTCCTTTATAAAAATGTATAGAAAATTAATATATTGAAGAAAGGTACAAAATTATAGACAAGAAAACAAAATAATGTGTAGAAAATATATAAAAATTTTCGGGTTCTCACACTCATTCTTTCAGGGCGTCACAAACTCCCCTCCTTAAAAGAATGTCGTTCTCGACATTCCATCTTGTACCAATCAAGTCAAGACATCCCGCAAGAATCACTCAAGCGTTCCAAGCAAACACTAAGAGTCAATAACACCTACTTGTCCGCCTTTCAGTCCTACAAGAATCACTGATTTTTCAATCCAAACCCACAGTCCGGCATCTTAAACTTCAAGCCTAGGATACACTACAACGATCTGAAACCTAAGCTCTGATACCACCTGTGACAGCCCCACCTTTCCCTAAGGCGAACCAAAGGGTTTAGCGGACCGCCTGCCCAACTCTCGCCGGGACTCAGTCGTTCACTACAGTCCTCAAATAGATTACAATATAAATCTCAAATATTACATCAAATTCTCCAATAATTACATGTCATAAGCGAAGCAGAAACAATTCCCAACTATACATAAAATGATTTCCAAATCCAAATTGTACAAGATATATGCCATCCAGTCATGTGAATAATTACTACAAGCCTTCCTTCGCCACGAGCCCTGTGGAGGGGAACAAAATATTTTTGGGGTGAGCTAAAAGCTCAGCGAGTAACCAGTAAAATCAGTAATCAAATCAGTTTCACAATAGTTCATTTGAATGATGTCATGAATCAGTAATCAAATGTACGTTTATTGCTCTCGTGAGCCAGTGAAATCCTTGCACTTAAACATCCAACGCTCAAAAATGATCCAGTAACAGTAAACAGTGAGAGAGGGAGCCATTTGCTCCAAATAAACAGGAGTGGAAACGTTGGTGTTCAGCACAAGACTTCCCAAGAACTCAGTGAAGCCAAATCATGTCATGAACTCACATGCAAGCACGCATGATATGCAATCGAGTAAATAATGCAAGAAAACAGTTCATAAGTAGCTTTGGAAATAGTTTGAAGTCACTCACCAACCACGGCTCTTAATCCTCATCCATCATAGACAGTTTTCCTTGATCAAGTCCAAGCTCTTCATTCTACCAAGAATTAACCCAAACTCACAGCGATTAAACATTTTCAAAGATTGGACAGCACTTCCCCTTAAATTCCTTATTTTCCATCCTACAAGACATTAAAAATCACATCTCAACTCAATCACAATAAAGCCCCAAAGTCATACAAGTACGAAATCAAACTAGGAAAATGTCCGGAAATGAAGTTTAAGTTATAAACCAAAAGACAGATTTTCCGTGGCTTAGCGTAACACCCACAACCAAAGCTACACTTATCGGATTGGGGTGAAACTTATACCGTTTCGAAGGTAAGACAAATGCCTACAACTTTGATGAAGACAACTCAGTCTAGTTTGTAATGTATCTAAGTCAAAAGTCCGGATTACAGAACCAAAATCTCACATTCGGGCTAGTTAACCGCATTTTGAGTAAACAACCATAACTCAGGCTACCGAAGTCCAAATGAGGTGATTACAGGGGCGTTGGAAAGCTAAGATACAAGGCTATAAGTCTTAAGAAGACAATGACAACCAAATCAGTAGTATTCCTGGTCGAAACAACCAATTACAGAAGCTGATTAGCATGTTCGGATAGAAACAGGGTAGCAGGGGTATTTTGGTCTTTTCATAGGCTACGTTACTCCGATTGAGCTGAAATTTTGTAGGAAACTATAAAACACTATTCTCTACAACTTTTGTGTTTTGTACTAAGGCTGATTCTGTCTCTAACATACTCTAACAAAAACGGGCAGAACAGGGTCATATGGAAACCTTAAACTGGAATTTATGCATCCAAGCTGGAAATTTTTTAGGCAAAACAAACTAACACATAAACACTAGATATTTCACATATCAAATCTAGTGAATCATGGCCAACCTTTAAGCTTCATATATGGGCAGAAAATTCACCAATAAAACTGAAAATTTCCATATCACTTCTTCCAACCATGAAATATTGCATAATACTACCAAAATTGCAACTATAAGCCACTAATTTACAATTATTGGAAGTAGAGAGAGAGTTTCTTGCCATATGCACCTCTTTACCTCTAAACCCAGAGGTGACAAGCAAATCAAGGGGGATGAAAGATTTTCTTCTTCTAAAATTTCACCAAAAGCTTCTCTCAAAGCTTACCTCAAGATTGATCGGTGTAGATTAGGATTTTTCGTTGGATTCTTCATGATTTAAGCAAGAGATCAAGGCTGAATGTTTTTTCTGTTTTCTCTCCCTTTTCTCGCTCAAAATTTCGTCCATCATGCTTACAAGAAGAAGAAATGATGAAAACAAAAGGTTTGGTCAAGATAAGAAGAAGAAATCATGGTCTTGGTCAAAGGTCCAACTTGCAATGGTTTCAAGCCACTTGGCTTTCTAGAATGTCCTCCAACCTCCTAATCTTCTAACACTAATCCACCTAGCTAATCCCTAATTATCACTAATCACCTTATAAAATAACATCCTGTTATACAAAACTTCAATTAATCGCCAAAATTGTACCCGACTAACCGCAGTGGCGGGCCCCACGTCCATAATACTCTTCAAACTTAACATGGACTAACTTGTATCAAGGAAATGATTTGAAAACTATATTCCTTTATAAAAATGTATAGAAAATTAATATATTGAAGAAAGGTACAAAATTATAGACAAGAAAACAAAATAATGTCTAGAAAATATATAAAAATTTTCGGGTTCTCACACTCATTCTTTCGGGGCGTCACACCTTCATCAACTCCCTCAAAATCTCACTCGAATTTAAGATCAAATACCAGTCAAAATCCAAAAGTTTACACAGAGGCAGCTCAAAAGATTAATTTCATCACGTAAAAAAAATAGAGATTGATTTCATCGGCTGAGATTTGGCTGAAGAACTTCAGAAGTTGAAGGCATACCGATTCTTGTTGACTGGGACCTTGTGGTGCCAACGGCGCCAGATCTTGGTCAGAGCAAACATGCGGCCGCGACACATGTTGCGATAGGCACCCTGGCCTGCACGGTGAGTGCCGCCGCCAGGAACACAAGAGATACGGGAAATAGTGCTACCAGTACCCCAGGACTCGATAAAGGTCTGGTGGCCAGTGGACCTAAAGACGGCGTAGGTTGGCGAGAGTTCTTGGAGATGTCGCACGATGAACGTCTTGGAGGATGTCTGGCTGGATTGGGGCTTTCTTGACGTCAGGCAGAGGGAGGGAGTTGGCGTTGGCCTCCATTTCATTCTCAAGAGGGATAACGGTAACTACAGGGAGAGAGGCGGCGGAATTAGGGATTTTTGCTATCTACAACTCCACTAAAGCTACACAAATCTTTTGGGTAGCTCAAATTACGGATGAAAATGGTGGGTTAAAATGATTTTCTGGATAATTTCAGCAAAATGATAGTAGAGAGAAGGAGAAGATGTAGTGTCCAAAGTTGGCAAGAAGGGGGAAAGCAAGTTTTATCCAAAATTTTTCTAAGTGTTATGAGTGTTTTTGTTTAGCTCTTGCTAACATGACGTAGTTTCTGCTTCTTTTGTTTACTCGTCTCTACTCGTTCAATTTTGTTCAATTTTTAGCTTCCCCCGCCTCTACTCCAAATTTCAGCTTCCCACTTCCATGTTAGCTTCAGCCAAAAAATAACGCTTTCAAGTGACTTTTGTACTAATTATTTGGACCTTTCTTTACAAAAACAACGCCTTTTCTACTATCTCTCTTTTTCTTTTCTCCATCTTTGTGTAATTAAAGTTGTTTATCATTTTGAGTTTTTAGCTCACAAGTTGTATTAAAACTTTATTTGTTGCATTAAAACTTTAGAATATGAAAATTTAGTGTTTTTTGATAATTTTGTTTACTAACACATGTTTTTTTATCTCTACAAAAAATTAATGTCCAAAAACTATAAAGCTAATTAAAAATATGTTTATGATTCAAAAAAAATCTTTTAATGTAAATAATTTTGGTATTAATTTAATAATTTTATGAATTATGTACGAATTATGGTTTGACAAGACCTAACAATCTGTTTAGTTGATCAAATAACCAAAATAGTTTGCTAATACATGCATGACACATTAAATGTTTTTGGTACAAGTACCTATTCATAAACCATAAACAATGTGACTATTGTAATTAATAATAAACTCCAGCCATCCAATTGGTTTACTAGTTAATAATAAACTAGTTGATCAAATAACCAAAATGGTTTACTAATACATGCATGAAACACTAAATCTATTTGATACATTACTGATTCATAAACCATAAACAATTTTATTATTGTAAATTGTAATACATAACAAACTCCAGTCATGGAATTGTCAAGATTTTTACTTAATTTCATATTAAATTTTATTATTCTCTTCCATTATTTTCACACTATGTTAATCAGTAATTTCCCATATGTTGTCCAGAGAACTAAATAATGAATTCATGATATTTTTTAACTTTATAACAAGGTATTAGCTATGTTTGGAATAATTAAAAAATAGGTAAACATTGTTTTTTACAATACCTTCCTCATTTTGCTAATGATAAACACAACCTAAAGTATAAAAGCATAGGGTGCCATAATAGAATTAATAAAACCTTTCTTTATCACATACGAGGCTAAATTGCAAAAGATATGGTGTCATGGTAGAGTTAATGAGATTAGTTTATCAAATAAGGGGCTACAATATAAAAGTTCGGGTATCATAACATAATTAATTAAATTTACTTGCAGCATATGGCCATATAGAAAAAATTAGGGTGGTATATGGGGTTAAAATGTAAAAGTTAGGGTGTCATAGTAGAATTAATAAAATTTATTTACAACACATGGGCCATATTGAAAAAATTAAGGTGGTATATGGGGTTAAAATGTAAAATTTAAGGTGTCATAGCAAAATTAATAAAATTTATTTACAACACATGGGCCATATTAAAAAAAATTAAGGTGGTATATGGGGTCAAAATGTAAAAGTTATGGTGTCATAGTAGAATTAATAAAATTTATTTACAACATATGGGCCATATTGAAAAAATTAGGGAGACATAGTAGAATTAGTGAAAGTGAGATGGGAATAAATGCTTTGGACAGTGACGACTAGTTGTTGTCACTAATTTAGAACTGGCAACCATATTGTAACGATATTGCAAGTTGTCACTGTAGGACGAGTTTCAGTGACAACATGTTTTCCACTCGTCACATTGGTGATCTCCCGCCACACTAGATAGTTGCACGCCATCCATATTGTGATGACTTATTCCGTGTTGTCACTGTTGACGGGTGAACCCACGATCAAATATGACGACATTAAAGGTCGTCACTAAAGTTTTCAATTGTGACAATTTTCTCTCTTGTCACAGAGAATGTTGTCACAAAATGCCAAATTACTTGTAGTAGCAGAACTGAAATCACACTTCTTAAGCTAGAATTTGTATATAACCATCACTAATTGCGATTAAAAGCTAGAAATTCCACATTAACACTAGACTAGCTTCTACTAATCATATAAATGCCAAATCAAAGATGAAATAACTTATATAAGATCTGGAAAATATCAATACAACTGAAATTTATCATCCCCGACCTTAAGCTGGAAATTTCACCAATCTTCACAAATCTAGGCTATCTTCTATAAAACTTCCAATTCAAGTAATCTTCCTAATAAATTGCAAGAATAGAAAGAGAACGATAATTTTCCAGCTTATTACCTTCAATCCTCCAAGAGAAAGTTAAAAACCAAGCCTTTCCTCTCCAAAGAAACTCCACTACAAGCTTCCTTGCTACCTTATTGCCACTTTGTTCGGTTTAGTTTTGTTGTTCTTGTTGATCTTCACTCAAACAAGGTAAGAATCAAGGTAGGCATGGAAGTTTTCTTTCTTTTTTTTCCCTCAAGAGGTTCGGCCATGATGAAGAAAGAATGAAGAAAAATTGGCCAAAAGGAAAGATAAGAAGGAAAGAAAAGTCCTAGTCAACCCTAGCTTTGATTGCCAACACTTGTCACCACCAATTCCTCTTGTTTTTTTTTCTTTTTCCTCTTGTTTTTAGTCAAAAATTTCGGCCAGATTTAGGGTGAGATTAAGGGAGGATTAAATGAAATAAACCAAGGAGATTAAGGTAGAAAATATTGTTCAAGCAGTGTACTCAACCGGTAACAAACGGTGCACGTCGGTTCAAACTTGTTTTCCTTAACTCTCTCGTACTTTTGTGTCAACTTATAATTCACTAAATTATTAATAGCACTTCTAATCACACACTTCCTCTTATATAGAACTCACTCTTAACCTCCAAATTTAATACACACCTCTCACCAATTAATCACACTACCAAAATACACCAAAACCCTAACTTACTCTAACTTGAAAAGTAAAAGTAAAACTCTTGGCTCAACTAATGAAATCACCATGAAATTTAGGGCTAGTAAATAGTTAATTAATCAAGTAAAGAAACATAGAAGGAAATATAAATTAATTTTTTTAAAAAATGGGAGGAAATTCTAAAGGAATTTTCGGGTCCTCACAAACTAGGGGAATTACTGTCCAACTTGGAATTATCTTGGTTTCCTTTGATTGTGGAGTGATTTTTGTGGTAAATTTGCCTAAGATACTTGGTAAATCTTTAGGCTTTACTTATGTGTCGAATTTTAGATGAAATGAAGGGTTTTCGTTAGTGATTTTCTCTAATTTTTAGGGCTGCAATTTTGCTTGTTGGCCAAGTTGATAGTGATGCATTTTACCTTGTTTTTCCTCAACCTTTTCATGTTGAGTTTCGGCCAAATCTTGTTCCAAACCCTTGATAAGATTCTTGTGAGTTGAACTTGAGTAGAAATCATGAGTTTTGGAAGGTGAAAACTTCATATTGTGCTTGTTTCTTTTTGAAAATTCTAATAGGTTGGCAGCCTAGATTCCTTTGCTGTTTTAGCCTTAAAATCCTTTCGTTTGGTGGTCTTTTGGACTCAATCTTGTTCATGTCACTTGCTAAAACCTTGAAATACAATGGCGTGTTGAATTGGAGTGAATATCATAATTTAAAGAGGTGAACTACCTTGTTTTTCTTCGATATTTTGCTGCTGGAAATTTTCAGCAATAACATGAAATGTTAAATTCTTTGGTTACTCTTGTTTCTTGGGTCCAAATGCTTTCTTTTCACTCCAAAACCATACTTGAATCTTTGCCCTAGTATCTACTAGGATTTTTCCTTGGTTCATCTAAGCTTTGGATGGTCGGACCATAATATCTTTTATCTTGGTTGTTCTTAGGGTTTGATGGTGAATACAAGAACCACCCAGGGATGAATGTTTAGCATTGCTCTACTTTGAAACGGTGAGTGTACCATTTGCATCATTCGTTGCTTAAGTGAGTTACTTTGTGATTGAGATTTATGAATTGTATGACTATGATTTTGGTTTAATCTGAGTTGGACAAGTGTATACTTTATCACACTCGGTCTCACTTGATCATTTGACTGGTCTACTATTCAATTGAAATATGTTACTTGTGCGTGAATTTGACGTCGTTTGGAACATAATATCCAATGACCACACTGTGAATTTGGGCCCAAATCTTATTGGTAGTTAATCAAATCAAGCCAGCAAGGGCTTGGTCAAGGTAGATTGATGGGCCATAAGGAAAACTATCACTGATTCACTGAGTACTGGATTCTACTGATATTTGGTATACTCAAGTATTACCACTACTGTTTCTGTTTGGTTTTCGGGCCCGGTAAAGGGTATAATTGGTGGATGGAAACTGGTGTAAAGTGGGGATCTATGGTCAATATTTCTGCTTCTCTAAACATTGACGGAGTGTCAATGGGCTTGGACCAAGCTACTACGACTAGGAATTTGGCTTCTGAGAGCCAACTGTATCGTTTTACCTGAATCACTCTGTGATAGTTGTGATGTTTACTTATCTTCCAAATTGGTACTTACATTTGATAGTTTAAAGTCCGAACTATG